CCGTCGGAGTGTAGGATTGGGATATGAACGTAGTTTTGGAAATTTGTTACTTATGTGTACGAAAAGTATTAAATCGTACTATAATCGTTACAGTTTGGATTTGGGTGATCTTATAGAGCGGGAACAATGAAATTTGGAGTCAGGATCACTGTAGAGGTGTGGGATTGGGGTCAGGATTCAGTTTAAGAAAATAATACCTATGGGTACTAAATGGTACTAAATTTGGTACAATTTAAATTTTAGGTGAACCAATAGAACGAGAATCATGAAATTTGGAGTTAGGATCACTGAGTGTAGGATTGGTGTATAGAGAAAATTTTGGAAATTGGTACTACTGCGTACTAAATTTGGTTCAATTTGAATTGTGGATGAATCGAAAGAGTTCTAATCCTGAAACATGGATTTAGGATCACTGTGGGGGTGTAGAATTGGGGTATGTAGGAAGTTTTGGAAATTGGTACTACTGTGTACTAATTTTGGTACAGTTTGAATTGTAGGCGAACCGATAGAATTGAAATCCTATGTGGGGTGAAGGTTTGGTTTTAGTAGAATGTTTTGGAAAGTGGTACTACTGTGTACTAAATTAGGTACAAATTGAATTGTGGGTGAACCGATAGAATTGGAATCCTGAAACTTGAAATTAGGATTACTGTGGGGGTTTAGGTTTGGGGTAACTAGGAGGTTTTGGAAACTGATACTACTGTGTACTAAATTTGGTACAATTTGAATTGTTGGTAAACTGATAGAATTGGAATCCTAAAACTTGGATTTAGGATAACTGTGGGGATGTGGGTATCGATATTAATGTGTGGATAGCTTAGTTTTTTTGACATATGCAGTTTTCTGTGAAAATAAAATAATATGTTAATACATGTTTAAATATATCCCACATTCGCTATCGAAGTATCGGGTATATGCCAGTAAAATATTTTTCCAGTTGTCAGTTAAACAGACATCATATCTCATGTGACTTCTCGGTATTTTAAAGGGTCTCCAACCGCAGTGACTGTAATCCGGAGATAAATTTTTCAAAATATTTGTATATTTTGACGTATTCCGATAGGTGCCTATAATGTAGCATTAGGGGGTTTTAGATGGTTGAATATAAAACAGGTTTTGGCATTCCCACGCATTTTAAGTATTACAAAGGACTTAACAGTATTTGTCAACATAAGTATTGGAGATTTGAGCTTGTCAAAGGTGTGGATACATGTTTTGACATAGGCTCCATATAAGGCTTAAACCCATTTGAGGCATTGTAAAGTCTAACCTAAAGGTAAACGGCTTATTTTAATTTATTTAGATGACCCAGTGGAGATCGGCTACTACCCATAAGATATTGTTGATATTGAAAATGGTACGTCACCATTTTCGGCAAAATCAACTGAATTTTTGAGCTCAAGTATTTGCAACTTGGCAATATAGGTCCATGTTTGTCATGAATCCCATATAAAGCTATTTTTGTATTTTGACTAAAATAGTATTTGTCTAAAGATTTTCATTTAAGGAAACATATACATTGATGTTTGATGGTTATAATACAAGGGTAAGTTTATGCACTATATATTTTGTAGAAGCATCGAAGTATCTGCAATTTTACATCTCGAGTTTTTAGATGCATCGATTCTCCCATTAGTTGCCATTGGAATCTCAGAATTTTTCTCAGACAAAAAAATTTATTTGGTGAAACAACCTTATATTTTAGTAGATTTAATCCGCATATTTTCCTTTTCATATATTTCTCACAACATAAAAATTATTCGTTGCATTTTCCATTGAAATAGCTTTAACACTATACAATAATTCAACACCCTGAATGCTTAATGAAATGTCGACAACACCTGATGTGTTCTCAAGTATTTAAGGTATGATAATAAATAATTAAAATGCTAGCATTCCTTGCATTCATTCTAATCAAACATAGATTTTCCAATATCACGGAATTGAAGGTTATTCCAACGTAGGAATTTATAAACATAGTGGTATTGATTTTATCTATACATTTAGGTGATTATATAAAGTATTCTATCAATGCTATGCAAGATTTAAAATTTGTTTAATATATGCAGAAAAATTTATAGTATTTATATCCATCCCTGTGCTCCTCATTCCTTTTGCAATAACTAACATATTAATTGAGTATTTTCATTATGCACCCTCTAGGAAGCATAATAAAAATATATGAATTTCTTTAATTTTGTTGCAGTTAAGGATAAGTACGAATATGAATGTCTGAATTACGAAGAAAGCAGGGTTTTATCTGCAGGTATAGGCATTCTCTTGTTACACTGTGCGACAAAATCGAGGTCAAGGTCTGGGGTGTGGGAAATTTCGTTTGGAGATGAAATCTTATGAGCAACATATTTGTAGAATACTGCATGGATAAAAAATCGAATTTTGCGATAATTGGAGTCCGGATAAATAATTTAAAGATGACAGACTACACAAAAGGAATTCAGTTAAAAATACGAAATGTTCTTTCATAAATTCCTCATTCGGTTTTACTGAAGAAATGTAATCTCTAAAAAAATGATAACGTCATATCTCCGAACTTTGACGTTTGGTTAATTTTTCCGTCTGGGGCTTTCAAGTACTCACCAAGGTCTTTCATCTCCAATTGAAATTTTCAACCCCTGAAAATCTTGTCGCACAGTGTTATATTATTCATGCAAAATACTTCGTTTAATTTTATTCTTCTTAAAATGCAATGTAAGGAATCTGATTTGTATGTAATTAAATTGAAAGTCTTACGAGGAATACATTTTAATCTTGTTTTAAGGGAAATGATTTTCAACAATAGTGAAGTTATTTCTATTATCATAAAATATTGCAGTGTTCTTTTCAAGGAACCCTCCCCCAAGCTTGATTGCAAAATTTCAACGAATTTCTACCTTGGAACATTGAAGACTTAAAGAAAAAGGAAATAAATTGGTAAACCAGTGAGCGGAGCAGTATAGTCGGACGGGGCCGACAATACTATACCCTACACAACTACCACGGAACTCTAAATTTCTTCGGATGTTTATTCCGAGCCTGGGCAATATTTCGTGATATTTGCACCCTCTTGCCCGATTAGAGGCTAACAAAACCTCTTCCTTACACTAACATATATTCCGATTATTACTAATATTCAGTACAGCCCTTTTTCGGTTCACTTCATACCAAAATTATTATCTGATCATCATAGAAATTTATAGGCGTTTTCCTTGACCACAACTGGGATCTCATGGAAAATTTGAAAGCGATAAGCGCTTTCCGCCCTCTAGTGTGGTAATGGGATACTAAATAATATCTCAGTACGTAAGCACTTGTAAATATTTAAGTGTATCTTCCACATCCGCATACATACGACAATGTAATTGGTATCAATTTAAAAGGCCAATCACTCTTCTTCGATATACTATCAACTTCTCGGTTCTATGTCCTTCATGAGTAAATATATACGCTATAGAATACAAATTTTGTAATTTTTCACACAAAAGTCAGGATCCATTAAACCCGCTAAATATAGACCGATCTTTATCAAAACAGGCACGCTTATTCTTTAGCCCGTTCCCCTAAATGTTAACCGATATTTTTCAAAAACAATAGGGATCTTCATTGGCCAGAACCCATCCTAAGCCAACTAAGTAAAGTAGACCACCTACCAAGGGAAATATTTTTTAGAAAATCACCTATTATCGACCAAAAATCAAGCTGGAAAATATAGAAGGTCTTGACCGATTTCATTTATCCTAGTTCATATGACAGATATGTAGATCCAGAATAACGTGTTGAACCTATTAATAGTTTTTGAGTTATGGTGCCCGCCATTCGTAAAAACACTGTGTCAAGAAAAACGTGTTTAACGTTTTCGCTATATTATTAAGAGTTGGGGTATTATCGGTTTAAGGAATACCGAGAAGATATCAATGACGTTGCTCGTCCTGGTCCCCCCAGACTCGTCAACAGCAATGAAAACATTAAAGCAGCAAAGAAAATGATTTTGGAAAAACAGCGTTGTTTAAATTTTTATATATTTCATATTTTGATATGCGAAAAATTTGATTCTTCTATAACAAGACCCTCTTGCACTATGTAGTATAGACAATAAGACATATTGGTAAGAACAAAATGAAATCATCATTCCCTATACGATTAGGTCGAAGAAAAATTTCATTTAAGTTATTTTGCTTTCAAGAATGCCAAACAAATTGCTATGTGACATTACGATAAATTTCCATACATTAATATTTGCAATGCAACTGAGTCATAGACTTTAGGCACCACTTACCATTGGAAAAATGTCAAAGTAATGATGTCCTTATGCAATTGGTATATTTGTCCTTGCACTTACATAGCAAGGATATAATGTCAATAGAAATGATGTTACACATAAGTGAATGTTAATCAGAAATTTATGACTCAGAAAGTACTTCGTAATAGTAAAGGGTGATTTTTTTATCTATTATATTTTGGGCAACATTGATTTAAACAGCACGCGCACGTTTCGTGTTTTATTTCTCTCTTTTAATGGGACTAAGCTGACATATAAATATGTCATGCATATTTTTGAATTTTATTCGTTTTTTTTTAACTCTGGTATAGCTCTTTAAAAATCACCCTTTACAACATTGAAGATAATCTACAAAAGTTCTTCGCAACAGAATATGCAATCGGAAGGATTTGTGTTCAAGAAAATTCTGTTGAAATTACAAAAATAATGCGTGGGCATGTAGATACTGTAATGGGCGAATAAACACAACAAAGTCTTTTTGATTACATTCTCATGAGAAATTTATATTCAATATTTGTCAAAACTTTGTGAATAGAAACTATAAACTATAGAAACTATTTTTATTTAAAACCATACATAATATTTTATCCTTGATAAAAACAATTTTTGGGAGCAACTAATAATTTATATTATAATAGTGCTATTGCTTTCTCTCCCCCTTCCTTCTGTGTAATATATTTTTTAACCGTTTTTGTTTTGTTTTTAAAAACAATAAATTACTCACTGCGATGTGCTATGTCCGATGGATCTCTTCTTAGAATTATACGACGCTTCGACGAGCAAATTGGTCCAGAATCTACGTCGTGTATTACAATTTTTATAGCTTCACCATCCATAGACGTTTGTCTTCGGGGCGCTTCCAAATCTTCCAAATTCGGTCCGGTGAAAGCGGCCAACGGTGGTGGTATCGATGATGGTGCAATTGTAGCACCGGGTATGGCACCGCGAGATTGTAAAGCAGCTAAATCGGGTCTGAAATTGTAAATGTTGAAATATTTTGTATTTACAAGAAAATCTAGTTTTTTTATTCTTTTTTATTTTATGATTTTTAAATATTTTTTTTCTTTCGAGTCGAGCTTAATGATCGAAGTTTGCAATAAAAAGAAAAGCCAGAGGAAAAACATAAGCACCTACCATTATACAATGAGTTTCGCCGTTGGTTAAGCGGCTCATCGGGCATATGTTATCGTTTGGTGATAATATGCATTTATATCGCAGTTAATGCGAAGTTGCATCTGCGAATTAAATTAAAATTTATCAAGCTCCGACACTTATCTTCACTCTAGAAACAATCCTAAATCCAAAGCATCTACAAATGCTCCCATGTTTCTTAATGGTTCAGAAAGCTAAGAGTTCTGGCTACATTTGTGGTGTTCTGAGAACCTAGCTTCGAACCCTAGCCGTGCTCAGCTGGAATAATTCGTATTTATTTGAATTTTGCCTGTAAGGTCTATGATCCTTTCAATAATTATTAGAGAGTTTTTTTCTCTTTCGAGTCGAGCAACTTAAAATACTTTTAAGTTCGGAAAGGCTTAAATTTTTATACACTCCGCCTCATGATGGAACATTCCAAATAGTTTATGTGGGGTTATGTCATGGTAAATTGCTGTCCAGAGAAAACTAATTACCAAATTAAGACTGGAAAATTTGGCTGGGATCTTGAATGTAGCGAATGTGATGCGTGCTCTTCGATATGTGTAGTCGTGGTCTTATATTGAAATTGGTCTTATGCCTAGAACTATCCAAATGCATATAAATGGGTTGGGCCTTTATATGGGAATTATGCCCATAAAATAAACGATTTTTGTAATAATGGTTTACCACCCTGTAACAATTTAAAATACCAAATTGGCGATTTTTTTTCCAGCCAAGGCGAACAGAATATCAAAAATGGGGTTTCCGACAAAAATTTCCTGAGGCCCTAGTTTTCTGTAGAGTGTTTTCCTTGTATAGTTCTACGCATTATTTAATTATCGATAATTATTTTTGTATGAAGCACAAATTACTTACAATTGTGATCCCCTTCGTCGCATACGTCTATCTTCGTCCACTGTCAATACGGGACTACCCTTGTCGGGACTGGGTGATTCATCGTTATTCAAATCTTCGGAGGGATGGGGTACACGAAATGATGGTCGTCGAGAACCGGGCAATGCAATCTGGGGTGTGATTGTTGATAAATCTGGAGTTGCGCGTTGGGTAGACTGGGCCACAGCTTGCAGAACACCAGGAGCAAAAACATCATAAGCTGATTTTCTAAAGGAGGAATTGGAAAAAAAAACATTAGCAATTATGGTTCTCTTTGCATTGTAATTGTTCCATAATAATACCTTCTTGGCATGGCTGGTATACCCAAACCCATATCTGCACCCAAACCACCAGCACCCATGCCACCACCGGCACTAGCTGCGGTTGCCTCATCATCGTAACTATGCTGACGAGCAACACGAGATCCTCGCCTGGAAGCCATGCGTGATAATGGTGGTCCAAAACTTAATTCTTCTTGTCGCGGTGGACTATTGGAGCGGCTGGGCGCCATACTATGGCCACCCTTACGCCAGTCACCATCTCCACCAGGTGTTTTATTACCTTTTAGTTGCTGAGTCACGGTGAAATGAAAAGGAAAAAGAACAATGATAATAACACAGCATTCATCTGAACAGAACTCACTACTTACCCTCTCCAATTCTTTTAATGACGCAGGTGATACATCTGAATGTCTTCGCAGTTCGGGGCTACGTGGTGGTGCCAGTGCAGCACCATTTGCCGGTGCCAATGTTTGTGTACTTGATCCCAGCTTGGCGTCTGAATGACGTCTCTGCAGTGCCTCTAATACGGGTACATCCAAACTGGAGTCTGTTGATGCCTGTGGCATACATACTCGGGATGCCATTTTCCGTCGACACACACTGCAACGCCACATGTTCTGTAAATGATAACGGGGGCAGACAAAAATTACCATAAGATGAGATCGAATTTCGTGGTAAGGGGAGATATTTTTCCCAAAATGTATTAATAATGATCAAAGGTCAAATGTATATAAATATACAAAATGTCATAATATATAGAAATGGGAATGGTCAGAATGTAATCTGAATATTTAAAAACCTATTAATGGTAGAGTTTATTGTTAGAATAGTCTATAGCTGGATGACTTCGAATAAGGCTTCGATTCTATACCCAATATTCTTTAGAAGATATTCCAAATTTATTCTATAGAAACATGACTTCACCTAAATCTTCTATAGACCGAAATTTTCTATTTCTATTATAAGTAGAAGAGCTTCTTTATTTTCTTCATCGCCAGAACACCTTAAAAAGGTATTTTTGTAGGACTTCTATACACATGCAAATATAGGCTTATAGGAATATATGTTTTCCGTACAAAGAAATCCTTGCTACAAAATTTCTGAAGATAGAATATTTTCGTGATAGTTGCACCTTCTTCACCGACTTGAGGTCAACAAATATAACTTATATTCAGTACAGCCCTTCTAATTGCATTCCCATATGCCCTTTACCGTGGGTTCTGTGGTTATGTTCGGCTTATTTTATTTATTGTGGCTTATAGGTCGACTGGAAAAAATTCAAAAAAAAAGAAAGTTTTCGGTCCACTTCATCCCAAAATTATTATCTGATCATCGCCGAAAATTATAGGCGTTGTTCTTGACCATAACTGGAACTTCATGGAACATTTCGAAGCGATGAGCGCTATATTTCCGCCCTCCAGTGTGGTAATGGGCTACTAAATGATATCTGAATACGTAAGCACCTGTAAATATTTCAGTGTAACTTCCACATCCGAGAACATACGATATAATAAAATTGATATCAATTTAAAGGTCAACCACTACCCTTGAATATACTATGAACTTCTCGGACCTATGTCCTTTAGGAGTAAATATATACACCATAGAATACACATTTTGTAATTTTTCACACAAAGGTCAGGGTCCATTTGACCCGCTAAATATTGACCAAACTTTGTTCTTCATTCGGACCATAATTGCGGCCTCTGGAGCGACCAGAAAAACAGACAAAAATTAAGTATTTGGTATATTTCATCCCCTAAATATTAACTGATCTTTATTAAAAACAGACGGACGGACACACATGTCTAGATCGACTCAGCTAGTCGAGATATGACGATCGGTATACTTAAAGGTGGGTCTAGGACCAATATTTCGCGGCGTTACAAACTTTTTGGTCTTCTTTTCTATAGAAAGAATACCTTCATATAGGTCCTACAGAAATAATACATTACGATATGTCCTTCATAGAAATAAGATATTTTTACAGGTATTTTATGGAAGGAATATTTTTATAGGTTTTACTTAAGGGGACCCCCCATTCTCGGGGTCAAAATTTTTGTTGATATAATTCGAATCTACACTGATTAAAGAATGTCTCTACAAAATTCCAAGTGAAAATCTCAAGAACTGTTGAAGATATATCCGATTTATTCTGTCAGAAGTGACGTCTGAAGGGCTTCTCAAACTTTAAACGCGTTTTTCTCTAAACATTTTTTTGCGAATGGCGGGCACGATAACTCAAAAACTAATAATCCAATCGGTTCCAAATTTTGCAACGTTTCTCTGGGAGTGTATAGCTCTCGTATGAACTAGGATAAAGCCAATCGGTGAAGATCTTCCTTATTTTTTAACTTGGTTTTTGGTAAAAAAATCGCCGATTTTTCAAAAATATTTTTTCAAAGGTCCACAATTTTTTTAATTTTAGAGCGAAGTCAATAATCCTAGTTCATACGAGAGCCAGACATGTACTCTTTCTAACACCGTTGGAATTTTCGGATTCCGATGTTCCAGTGAGGAGTTATCATGCCCGCCATCAAAAATAAGGACTTTTCTTTAATTACAAAAAACAACAACAAAACAATAACAAAATTTTTTTGTAAATTATTTTTCGTCTCTTTTAAATCTTCAATTATATATGTGCAGAGTTACAAACCTTAACAAGCATTGGTATTGATTTACCAGCCCATTGAAAATCTTGAAAAATTAAAATCGTGAATGGGGGGGGGGGGGGGGGGGGGGGGGGGGGGGGGGGTTCCCTTAAAAGTAATACCTATTTATAGTATTTCTATTGATAGAAGCCCCTTTCCTTATAGGTCTTGTATAGGATTTTTATAGAAAGAATACATTTTTATAGGACTTCTATGTGATTAAGTAATTCTGTAGACTCTGGATAAATATAAAATAACTTAAGGCAGAGAAGACCTTCTGTGCAATTTCTACAGGTTTCCTTTAGAATATTCTACTTGAATGTTTTTTTAATGGATTCCTACCATCTTCAGAATTATTACCATTTTGCTTTTGCACTTTCACCCCCACCCAACAGAATAAATTATCGTTATTATCACATTAGTACATTCTAGACTACAATGAACCATTGTTGTTGTTGTTATTGGAAATTATAATAAACTTACCGCATCCTCATTCTCTTCCAATTTACTATAGCTGGCACAATCCTCACACACCCTCTGCTGACATTCGAAGCACGTTTTGTGAAAATCATCCGGTTTAAATGATTTCAAACAGACTCGACATGCTCCCGCTCTACGACCCGGTTCGGTATTTTGTTTGGAGGAATTTGTTGTCGCACTACTGTTGCTGCTGCCACCGCCACCACCACCGCCCGCAGTTGTTGTTCCTGTCATTGTTGTCGAATTATTGTTGTTATTGTTATTTTGATTTGCAAGCGTATCCTGTTGCTGATAACTGCCGTAGGTGCCATCAGCATCTGTTGGTATTAGCGATGGACGTGGAGACATTTTATTCACTGTAATGACAATGTGATTCGATTAGAAATGCGCATTATATTAAATATCATAAAAGGGTAATATTGAAGATTGAGGGTGTTTCGAATAGAAATCTAAGCACATATCCATATTGCTTAAAAAGAAGCTTAAATTCCCCATTTTTTATGATAATCCTTTAACAACAATTCTTCTTTCAAACACCCATCTTTAAAAAAAAACTTCTATTTAATATGTACATGCATACATCCATACTCAAGCGTTCAGTCATTTATGCCATATAGAGCACTTCAAAATCTATAGTGTGCCACATAAAAAAATATCCCATTTCCGTTTGAAGTGGCCAAAGTATGTACTCCATAAATGTAATATATTTCCATTTAACGTGGTTTCATTTTAACCGCCCTGACATTTCCTGTATGTCGCCTTCGTATAACTGTCGTGCTGAAAAAACGTAATGCGTCCTCTAATGCTAGAAAAATATGTAAACCACAATGAAAATGCACAGACACATACACGTATACACACCCACAAAATGCTTACAAATGGCATGTCATGTGCAGCCTAAAATGAAACCGAACCGACCACAATGTGCATCAGACCGGCTGCATGGTGGCACTTCAACAAATTATTTTTTCCACTTCTTTTTTTCGCATTCAGCCAAACGGGCCAAGTAACGTTCTGAAATCCATTTACTTGGTTTAAGATTTGAATAAAACAAGTGAAAAAGCGTTAAGTTCGGCCGGGCCGAACGTTGGATACCCTCCACCAAAGATATACTGACAGGTACTAGAAATGAAAATATAGGGAAAATACCAAAAGGTGGAACAATACCGACATTTCTAAAAACGGATTATGTAAACCATAATACAATTTCAGAAAATTTTAATGGATAATGGTACCCTCAGCCTTATGGCTAATGGCGGTGTATACACTTTAATACGGTGAAAATGTGCCTCACCGAAATATTGGTTCTAGACCCCATGATTCTTTGGACCAAATCCGTTTCAGAAAATTTAAATTTCATTCAAACTTATTATTTCTTCCAAACTTAGTAAAAATTCGAAGATGGGGAATATCGGTCCACTCCTTCCACTTCGGAACAGATAACAGAATCAGATGTATATTTTAATATAAAAAGGGGTTATATAGGGGGACTACCCCAAAGGAGGGGGGGGGGGGGTAATATTCATAATTTGTTGGGAGATTTTTTACCATATACGACTACAAAATTCCCTTATATGGGGGCCATCCGAAAAAATGAACCTATATTTATAATTTTTTGTGGACAGATTCGGTACCTATAATACTGAATTACACCCAATTCGGTTGAAAAATACTATAAAAAAAAAACCCCAAAACACTGAAAATTAGGAGGTACCGTTATATGGGGGCTACCAGAAAAAGTGGACCTATATTTATAATTATATCCTTCACCACACTGTGGTACAGGGTATTATGTCTTTGTGCATATGTTTGTAACAGGCAAAAGGAATCGAAATAGACACATGGTTCCTTTTGAGAATATGCATAGAATCACTTTCTGAGTGGTCGTATTTATGATCCGATTTGGATGAAATTTGGGACAAGTCACTTATTTGGACCAAGGACGAACCCTATTGAAATTGGGAAAAATCGGTTCAGTCCGATTTAAGGTAAATAGTGCACAAAAGCCCCTCTATATGTTTTGATTTGCACGAAATTTGGCACAGAGTACTGAATTAGGTCTAGAATGATGTGTGCCAAGTTTCGAGAAAATAGGTTTAGATTTAGATATATATAGTTTAGATTTAGGTTTATATAGTTTCGTCCGATTTAAGGCAAATGGTGCACCAAAGTCCCTATATATCATTCGATTTGCACGAAATTTGGCACAGAGTACTGAATTAGGTCCAGAATGATGTGTCCTAAGTTTAGTGAAAATCGGTCCAAATTTAGATATAGCTCACATATATAATTTCGTCCGGTTTAAGGTAAATGGGGCACCAAAGCCCCTATATATCTTTCGATTTGCACGAAATTTGGCATAAAATACTGAATTAAATCAAGAATGACGTGTGCTAAGTTTCGTGAAAATCAGTTCAGATTTAGTTATAGCTCCAATATATATTTTGGTCCGATTTAATGTAAATTGTGCACTAAAGAACCAAAGATTGGCCGACCCGCACACAATTGTGGACAATGTACTGAAGTTACTATAACCTTTCGTGTGTCAAGTTTTCTTGAAATTGGTTCAGTTTACATACAATTTCTATATATACTTCCGTCCGATTTTAAGTAAAGACCCATAGCTAGGCCGATTTGCCTATCCTTGAAATCGGTTCCGATTTAGATATAGCATAGCTTCCATATGTAATATCGACTTTTTCATGTTGATTGTACACCAAATAATCAACGGATGCCTGATTGATATTACATTTTAAACATTGAAGCATACCAAATAACGTGTGTAAAGTTTGCTTTAAATCTATTTACAAAATTTAGCATAGGTTGCAGAATGGCATGTATACGGATTGATGCTAGTCTCTTTGCGTATAGATACAGAGATCACATAGTTATGTTCGTTGAATTTCACGTCAATGTTCCTTCGAAAAGGCCACGTCTGTTAGGATACGTATCAGGAATATACACAAAGTGGTGAAGGGTATCATATAGTCGGCCCAGTCCGACTTTACTACTTTCCTTACTGTTTTTTCGTGGAGACATTTAGTACCCAATAAGAACCCAATGTATGAAATTTCAGCATATTTGGGAAAATCGCGCTCAAGAACCCCAAAATACCGAAAATTGGGGGTTACTGTTATATGGGAGCTATGCCTAAACGTGGACCGATATTCGAACTTGACCTGCCCGCAGACAAAAGACAAACCTATACAAAATTTCAGCACCATATCTCAATTCCTTCAGAAGATAGCATGATTACAACAGACGGACGGACATAGCTAGATCGTCTTAGAATTTTACCCTGATCAAGAATATATGTACTTTATAGGATCGGAAATGAATATTTCGATGAATTACAAACTGAATGACAAAACTAATATACCCTCCATACTATGGTGGAGGGTATAAACAGTAGTGGACTATAACAGTCATTATTAAACACTATCTATCATAAAGCACAATTTTTTGTACGAAAAAAAAAATTAAGAACTCTCTTTAAGAAAAATATAATATATTTTGTATGGAAAAGGGGATTTTTTAAAGAACGAAGTGTATATTTTTTAAGAATAATTTTCAAGAATTTTTAAAATGACTACTTCAATTTATTTATTTGTTAAAGAATATTAACTAAGATCTTTGACATTTCAAAAAAAAATTTTTTTAATGTGGAGGATTTTTTTCCAACGACTATTAAAAGCACGGATATTTTAAAAAAAATATTTGTCAAACACTAATACAATATTTTTCTAGAACTATTAAAAATTATTATGGATTTAAACAAATTTTGAAGGATTTTAAAAATATTTTTTCAATGAATTATAATGTCGGATTTTTTTTAATATTTTTGACTTTAATAAAAGGTGAATTTTATAAAAATCGTTTCCGTGGGCTAGTATAAATATTGCATTTTTAAAAATTTATTTTACTAACAGTAATGGTTTTTTATAATTGTAATATTTTCATCTAAGACCACATAAATTATATATTCCTGATCAGAATAAAAATATATGTCGGTTTAGCCACGTCTGTATGTCTGTTGAAATCACGAACACGTAATATTGAAGATAGATCTTTAAAAATTTCCCACATGCTTTGCTACTACTACTAGGATGTTTAGTATTGAAAATGTGATATATGGATCCACGTTTTAGTAGCTCCCGCCCCCAAAATTTCGATTTTCAACTGAACTGGCTGTAGATTTTTTAAACATTTTTTAAGGAATATCACAACTAATAAGCTAGTAATTTTATGAAAAAGTTCTTCAAAGAATTTCACAATAATTAGGTTTCGCTTTTCAACGAAAAAAAATTTAAACGACTATCGCAATTAATAGTCGTGGTTTTTATACCCTTCACCACACTGTGGTACAGGGTATTATGTCTTTGTGCATATGTTTGTAACAGGCAAAAATAATCGAGGTAGACCCATGGTTCCTTTTGAGAATATGCATAGAATCACTTTCTGAGTCGATTTATGCATGTCCGTCCGTCCGTCTGTAGATGTTAAATTGTAAACAAAGTACAAGTTGCATTTATGATCCGAATTGGCTGAAATTTGGCACAGCTCATTTGTTTGGCCCAAGGACGAACCCTATTGATATTGGGAAAAATCGGTTCAGATTTAGATATAGCTCCCATATATATTTTCGCCCGATTTAATGTAAACGGTCCCTATATATCTTTCGATTTGCACGAAAATTGGCACAGCGTAATGAATTAGGTCTAGAATGATGTGTGTAAAATTTCATAAAAATCGGTTCAGATTTAGATATAGCTCCCATATATATCTTCGTCCGATTTAAGGTAAATTGTGTAATAAAATTCCTATATATCTTTCGATTTGCACGAAATTTGGCACAGCGTAATGAATTAGGTCTAGAATGATGTATGCCAAGCTTCGTGAAAATCGGTTCAGATTTAGATATAGCTCCCATATATATCTTCGTCCGATTTAAGGTAAATTGTGTACCAAAGCCCCTATATATCTTTCGATTTGCACGAAATTTGACACAGCGTAATGAATAAGGTCTAGAATGATGTATGCCAAGATTCGTGAAAATCGGTTAAGATTTAGATATAGCTTCCATATATATCTTCGTCCGATTTAAGGTAAATTGTGTACAAAAGTCCCTATATATCTTTCGATTTGCACGAAATTTGGCACAGCGTAATGAATAAGGTCTAGAATTATGTATGCCAAGTTTCGTGAAAATCGGTTTAGATTTAGATATAGCTCCCATATATATCTCCGATTTAAGGTAAATTGTGTACAAAAGTCCCTATATATCTTTCGATTCGCACGAAATTTGATATAGCGTACTAAATTAAGTTTAGAATGATGTGTGCAAAGTTTCGTGGCGATCGGTACAAATTTACATTTAGCTCCCATATATAGCTTCGCCCGATTTTTGGTAAATAGCCCACTAAAGTCCCTGGAAATCTTTTAGTATAGCGTACTAGAATGATGTGTGCAAAGTTTCGTGACAATCGGTTCAGATTTAGATATAGCTCCATTATTTATTTTCATCCGATTTAAGGTAATTGGTGTACCAAAGACCCTATATATCTTTCGATTTGCACAAAATTGGGCATAGCGTACTGGCATTTGGGTCTATAATAATTTGTGCTAAGTTTCATGAAAATCGGTTCAAATTTAGATATAGCTCCCATATATATTTTCGCCCGATTGTAGGTAATTGGTGCACCAAAGTCCCTGGAAATCTTTTCATTTGCACGAATTTGGCATATCGCACTGAATTAAGTCTAGAATGATGAGGCAAAGTTTCGTGAAAATCGGTTCAGATTTAGATATAGCTCCCATATATTTTCGTCCGATTTATGTAATTGGTGCACCAAAGTCCCTATATATCTTTCGATTTGCACGAATTTTGGTATAGGGTACGTTGGTCAGCTAAGTACTTCGCTTTGTTACAAGAGACATTTGGGTTTGAAAGGCTTTTTTTATGGAAGCAATAGCTTCTGGGAGAATATCCCAACAAAAAACTAAGGGAACTGATAAGGATCAGTGGCGTGATCCGAAACTATAGTCTTTCTTGCCTTTCCCCTCAGCAATCAATGCCATACATTCCCCACTAATAAATAGTTGTTTTTTATAAAAACAAAATACAAATGGTATCCCAAATAAACCGCCAACACTACTGAAGTACTGAATTAAGTCTAAAATGATGCTGCTAAGCTGCGTGAAAAGAGCCATAGCAAGGCCGAATGACACAACGTACTGAGGTAATATAAATTAGTCTCTGGCAATTTTCCCTGAAATAGGTTCATAACAAAAACGCGTCGCCTGTTACGATACATATGAAGAATATACCCAAAGTGGTGAAGGGTATCATATAGTCGGCCCAGCCCGACTTTACTACTTTCCTTACTGGTTTAAATTTATTTTTTGGGCGCGATTTTTGTAATTTTTTTTAATGTCCATGTCCCTTTTTACCATTTTAAAATCATCTAAATGTCATGGGGCAAATAAATGTATATGGTTGTAGTCGGTAGCAAGTTATGATGAACGTTTACAATCCACTTACCTCTATCTTGGGCTGTTAGCAATGATGATGATAGCGTCTGTTTTAATTTTCCAAATGTGCCTCCACTGTCTGGGGTATTTTGTGTTGAGGCATTCTCATCGGTGGCAACCATCTAAAAAATGATTTTGGAAGAAAAAAAATTGGTGTTTAGGACAATTTGATTTGGTTTTCAATTTTAAAGCTTTACAATATTTCTACGAAATATATATGTAGTCATTAAATGAATGATTCAATAATGTATCATAAAGGTTTTGTTACATATTTAAGCATTTTATACATTGTGTACAATTTATTGTCATTTAAGATTTGTCGAACAGGTTTTATTGTGGTTGTTTTAAGCACCAGTATAAAGCGTAGTTTTTTATAAATGTGTTTTCATAATGTGTGAAATTAAAAAAAAAAATTCCAAAAGCTTTATATTTTTAAAAATTATTGTTAATATTTTAAATAATTATGTATCATGAATCTAAAGCAACTTGTCGTTAAGGTTTTGTTTTTAATATTTGTACCAAGAAAAGATATGAATAAATTGTCTATGTCTAACATTCACCACTCCGACCTTGTTTCCTATTAGTATAGTTTATTATTTTATTCGTTCACCTGGGATTTATAAACCGTTTATTTTCACTTGGCTTAGAATTTTATTGAGTGGAAATTGTCTCACAACATTTCATAAAGGGTAGCTGTGCAAAACAAAACAAAAAAAATATTATACCTATAAGTCACTGCTGACATTGATGTCCAACATGTGGCCGTCCATTCTACATGGAATACAGGCTCACATAAAAGATGTCAAGCACAAAAGTTGTTTGTATTTGTATTACTCTGAAAGAAATGTGACACGACAATATCAACTACCAGGACGCGGATTCAAAACGAAAACGAGAAAATTTGGTTTGAGGCACAATTTCTCGACAAAAGGTATGCTGTATCTCTGAATTTGCAATGGATATATAAATCTGATATAAATTTCTTCGTTTATATCAAACATTCGAATGGGACTTGAGGAGAGTGTATATACTTACATACGTACACATTCTGTCAGACAAATGTAACTAAGCTGCCATTAATTTTTTTCAAATTTATTCAAGGGGTTTGATCAACAATGAAATGTACATTTTAGGTAGCTTCAAAAAATTTTGGTTATGACTATCTCAATAAAGATACGTTGATTTTTAAAGATACGTTCTGTAAATATTTTTTTTAAGGAACGATTTTCAAGGACTATAGGCGTGTACTTTTAAACAAATGTTTTTCTAGAACTGTCATAATTAATAGGCGTGGAATTTTTTAGAAAATTTCTTCAATGACTATCACAATTAATATCACAATAAATAAAAGTTTATTCAAGAACTATCACTAATTTAATAAAAAAAAAATACTGCAAGGACTATTACGAGGATTTTTAAATAAACTTTCTAAGAAATGTCACAAATAATTGACGGAAATTTTAATGAAAAGTTCTTCAAAGATTATCACAGGGCTATCACAAATAGTATGCATACATTTTTAAGGAAACCCCCTTCAAGGACTGTCACAATTAATATGCGTGGATTTTTCAGGAAAAACTCTTCAAGGACTATTAAGTTCTAACTAACACAAAAGAGACATGTAATTCTATAGAAAAGGTCTAAAGAACTGTCAGAATTTCTAGGCGTAATTTTTTTTAGGGAAACGACAAGAATTATCACAAATTATAGGCGTGGATTTTTAAAGAAAAGTTCTTCAAGAACTGTCACAATATGATTCGGATCTGCTTTCTAAAGAATTATTTTCAAGGACTAAAAAATAGGTGTGGTCTATCAGAATTTAGAAGCATGTTTTTTTAAGGAAAATTGCTTCAAGGATTATCATCGTTGTCAAGAACTATCACAATTATAGGCATGGTCTTTAAAATTCATTAAGAACTATCAGCGTTAATGGACGTGGACTTCTAATGACAATTTAATATGCGAGGATTTTGGTATAGAAAAGTGGTTCCAAGACTATCACAATTATTAGGGGTAGGTTTTTATTGAAAGGTTCTTCAATGACAAACATTATTAAAGAACCGTGGACTTTGAAAGAAAATTTCTTGAAGAACTCTCAAAATTAATAGGCGACGATTTTTTAACTACTGTAAGGAGCATTTGTTGTTATTGGTGAGCGATTGCCAGACATTTTTTCAATCACCAATACAATGAGCGATCACGCTCTTTTGATAAAAACTTTATCCGAATTTTTTTCGTTTTCAAAGAATCGTGATTTTTCTAAAATTCGAGCTTAAAACCATAATATTTTCTTTAAAAAAATCTTGAATTTCTTACGAATATTTATTCAAGCACTCCAATAGAAAACCAGTAAGGTAAGTAGTAAAGTCGGACTGGGCCGACAATATGATACTCTTCACCACTTTGGGTATATTCTACATATGTATCCTAACAGACGACGCGTTTTTGTTATATATCTGTATCTGAACCGATTTCAGGGAAATTTGCCAGAGGTTAATTTATATTAAACCAGTAAGGAAAGTAGTAAAGTCGGACTGGGCCGACTATATGATACCCTTCACCACTTTGGGTATATTGCGCATATGTATCCTTACATTGCATGTCAATGTTCCCTCGAAGGAATATACGCACGTTTTTCTGCAACCTATGATAAATTTAATTTCATTCGGGCAGATTTAGAGTCGTCTGCGTACCATGGAACAAATTTATAGAAAACGTTTTATAGCAAAATTTATACACGCTATTCGGTACTGATAAACATTTTATTCCAATCAGACACCTGCTCGAAATACATATGGAAGCTATGGCTGCATCTGCACCAATTTCGCCAATCGGACAAACATTAGCAGTATGGAGCGTCATTTATGTAAAAACGGAGGAATATATATGAACATGTGGGATCTACATAGAAATCTGAACCGATCTAAAACTTACCACACATCATTCTCGACACAATTTAGTACGCTATGACAAATTTCGTGCAAATCCAAGGATATATAGGGACTTTGGTGCACTATTCATATAAAATCGGACGAAGATATATATGGGAGCTATATCTAAATATGAACCGATTTTCACGAAATTTTACACACATCGTTCTAGACTTAATCCAGTACGCTATGCCAAATTTCGTGCAAATCGAAGGATATATAGGGACTTTGGATCGCTATTTACCTAAAATCGGACGAAAATATATATGGGAGCTATATCTAAATCTGAACCGATTTTCGGGAAACTTAACACACATCATTCCAGACTTAATTCAGTACGCTATGCCAAATTTCGTGCAAATCGAAATATATATATATATATATATATAGGAAATTTGATGCACCATTTACATTAAATCGGACGAAAATAAATACGGGAGCTATAACTAAATCTGAACCGATTTTCAAGAGACTTAACACACATCATTATACACTTAATTCAATACGCTCAATTCAGGAGTGATTGATAGGGACTTTGGTGCACCATTTACATTAAATCGGACGAACATATATATGGGAGCTATATCTAAATCCGATTTTCGGGAAACTTAACACACATCATTATAGACCTAAATCATTGGGCTGTGCAAAATTTCGCGCAAATCGAAAGATATATAGGGACTTTGGTGCACCATTTCAATAAGGTTCGTCCTTGGGCCAAATAAGTGACCTGTGCCAATTTTCGGCCAATTCGGATCATAAATGCGACCTGTACTTTGTTTACAATTTAACATGGACAGACGGACATGTTTATATCGACTTAGAAAGTGATTCTATGCATAGTCTCAAAAGGAACCATGTATCTATCTCCTTTTCTTTTTCCTGTTAAAAACATATGCACAAAGACATAATACCCTGTACCACAGGGTAAAAAAGGGTAAAAAAAATTTCCATTTAATTCGATTATACAATAACTAAAGAACGACCCTTTAAAATTTCAAATCTCAACAACTTGTGTCGGCATAAAGTGGCAGCAAAAGTGCTTCTCAAAAAGCGTTTTTCATGAAACGGTGTTTTTACGATTTGGGAACACGATGAATCAAAAAATTCAATCCGTTTCAATTTTTACGACTATAAATGTAGTCGGTTAAGGTCTTCCCGATTTCCAACTCGGTTTGTGGTCGAAAATAGAGAATTTTTCAAAAATCAAATTTCTAAAATCAGCCATATTGTTAATTTTTGCGAGATGTTAATACTTCTATTTAGTTCATAACAGAGTCAGACATGTACTCTTTTGAATATCGCTGGAGATTTTTGAATCGGACGTTCCAGTGTTTTGAAATCATGCCCGCCGTCGAAAAGACGTACTTTTATTTAATTATAAAATAACAACTATGTCGAATTATGGGTGGTTCCCTTAAAAAATGGGAATTTTGTGGAACATATTTTAATACAATATCCCGGAGGATATATATAGATTATTTATTTCCAAGGGTATATCGATTATTTTTTTAATAACCAAAACTCAACTGCAACTGCCAACAGATGACAATGTCCATCAAATTGTTATATGTATTTCACGTTTTTCGACTTAATACTTTATTTAACCATCCTGTCCTCAGTGTCATCTATTTACCCGTTACGGAACAACACTATTTAAATTGTTTCGATTCCGCCCCCCACCCCCAGGCATGCCCAACTGATATTTACTTATATATTTGTGGGACTGTTGCTCTGAGCGCCGTTATCTTTATTGACAATAACCGTGCTAAGGATGAGATGATGTCGTTTGTTTCCTCCCATTATCCTGCATTTAGTGAATGAGTACCGTACAAAGGCTCTTCCTTGCGAATTCACCTCTACAATGCCATTAAGTTCTACTTCAGTGACACTTTTATGATACTACTCTGGCATTTGTGTGGGAATTGGTATGTTTTATGTGTGTGTGGGTGTGTGTTGTATGTATTTGTGGTGAAAGTCACTTTTGTTACTGACGCCAATTGACAAACACAAAAGGCTAGCACCACAGTTCTTTACAGGTAGATACATAAAGGTATGTGAATGGGTTTTCCTCTGCATGAATGGCTTAAGTGAAGTGTGGATAGTGTTTATGTATTTGTGAATAGATACCACAAATGTTAGATACGTGTGTTGTACAGGTGTACTATGTAGTTTCTCAATAGTCAATTTGTATGATGGCATTTTTTTGCGAGTAGGCGTTTACTCGCAAAAAATACCATCATACAAATGGTTTGAGAAATTCCATAAAACTTTTCGAAAGAGAACAGATATGCCCAGGCCTGCGGTGTCTATTTATGATACAACACTTCTTAGAAATCGAATCTAAAGTCATCTTCGATAATTAATGTCTAAGACAACTCTCACATTCCGTTTATTTTCTTATTCAAATTAATATTTTGTATTGTTGTTATTATTTTTAATCGTCTTACATATAAAATATGACTTCTCAAATGAACAATTATATGGCCTTTAGGGACTTCTTTTGAATTCCAATTTAAGAATATATTTATGAGCAGTAGTACAACGACCATACGAATCCTTACAAATATACGAAACTATCAGAATTGGTACACATGCAATATAAATGTGTGTGTGAGTGTTAGTTGATAGCTGTTAGTTAACAAAAATACGCTGAGTCTTAGTTCACATAATCTCATTACCCTGGTTTACGAAGATAATTCGTTCATGGGACGATGTTCATGCTAAATTTTCGAGGAGGTTGTGTAAAATGCAAAGTGATACATGTATGGCATTGTTTTGCCAAATGGTGGATTGATACAAAACATTTCTTGCAATATGTTTTCTATCCGTTGCAAACGTGATTCTACATGGACCATTTATATCGTGTTGACAATGATCAAATACCAAACATCTCATTTTATTCCCTTTGAGAGAAAAATGCTTCTACAAAGCATCGCCTGGATGTCTGTCACCAATTTTTTAATAATTTTTTAATATATGTTTATGTTTTTAGATAACCATATATTGAAGGTGTTTAGTCGTTTTTTTCAGCCGGAGAAGAACTATATTAAGGTAAAACATACAACATAGGTCCATATTTCGACATAGCCCCCATTTTCCGACCGAGACGCCAGTTTTTTAGCTTTCCGAATTTGTGTGGAGAACAACCTCTTCACAGAAAAAAATTCTATTTAGATTCATATTCGGACATGTAAGAACTCCAATATAAAGTTACAAATGTACCCCCTTTTCGTTACACCTAAATAAGTTTTACTATAAAAAACTTTCTCTGTTACATGTTAAACTTAAGTTTATTTGCCTTATACAACGGTGCAGAGCTTCCTATGGCTTTGTCGTTACACAGTACATTTGTTATAATGAGGTTCATCGTGTCGTAAGCAGAATGGTCGCAGTATGCCGACCGACGTCAAATTTGAATTTCAAACTATGCCTAAATTTCATAAGACGATTATGTTCTTGTCGCAATGGTACTTGAATAGATTGCCACTTAAATGTAACATAGGCTATGGTACACACTCACGCATACATATGTTTGTATATCTGTTTAATACCATTTATGAGAAGAGTTCGTTAATGGCCACATATATAAGACTATTGATTACAATGTGGTTTAAATGCATTTGCTAATTAAATAAAATAATTATAAGAATATGACCACATGTAATAATAAAATGTGATTATTACATGGAAGGAATAATGTATTTCATATATATATATATATATATATATATATATATGTAATTTATTTTCGATAAAATTTTAATTGATTACAAAATAGGATTTTAAGAACCTTTCTAATTAAGCCTTTTTGTACTCAGATGAGTTAGCAGGAAATATGAGGAAAAATTGAATGCTCACTCACAGGTTTAATTGTATGTCCTGATATGGGACGCGTGGTGATGTAAACCACCCCCATTTTCAAACTAACCTAATGTAAACAAATGAATATCCACCCACATATAAATCATTAAGAGATAATTCTAACCCAAATATTTAGAAACCCAAGAAACAGAACATTTTTACAGATGGACGAAATTCCATAATATATCTTCTTTTAGAACATTTTATAGATATGTTATTCTAATAATGCGACGTAAACCTTAAAAATTAGCGAAAATTGTGGGTGCCGCTAAAAAAACAATCTTAAAAAACAATTTAAACCAGTAAGGAAATCAGTAAAGTTGGACGGGGCCGACTATATGATACCCTTCACCACTTTGGGTATGTTCAACAGATGTATCTTAACAGACGTCGCATTTTTGAAGGACCATTAACATGAAATTAGATCCAGAAACATGTTATTCTGCATCCCATACTAAAATTTTCATTATGTAAATCAATTTAAAGCAAATATCATTCGGACACCCGTTGATTTTTTGATAAATATTAAAAAAAACCTGAAGAGTTTGGTGCACCATTTACTTAAAATCGGACGAAAATATACATAAAAGCTATATCGAAATCTAAACCGATTTCATCGAAATTTTTCACAGGTTAGGTTATACTAATTTCAGTATGTTTTGTGCATATCGGTCACATTTTGAGTTATTGGTGCATCATTTATCATGAGAAAATATATATATGGGAGCTCTATCCAAGTCTGAACCAATTTCAATAAAAAAATCCATACGCTAGGTTAATTTAACTTCATTACTTTGTGCACAATTTTCTGTTAATCGGCCTAACTTTGGGTCTTTGGTGCACCATTTACTTAAAATTGGACGAAATTATATAGTGAACATATATCTAAATCTGGACCGATTTTCACAAAACTTGGCAGATATTACTCTAGGCTCACTTCAGTACGTCATGCTAAATTTCGTGCAAATCGATAGATATATAGGGACTTTGGTGCACCATTTACATGAAATCAGACGAAACTATATATAGGAGCTATATCTAAATCTGGACCGATTTTCACGAAACTTGGCAGACATTATTCTAGGCTCAATTTAGTACGTTATGTCAAATTTCGTGCAAATCGAAAGATATATTGGGACTTTGGTGCACTATTTACCTACAATCGGACGAAACTATATATGGAAGCTATATCTAAATCTGAACCGATTTTCACGAAATGTTACACACATCGTTCTAGGCTTAATTCAGAATGCTATACCCAATTTCGTGGAAATCGAAGGATATATAGGTACTTTGGATTTTCACAAAATTTAGCACACATCGTTCTAGGCTTAATTAAGAATGATATGCCAAATTTCGTGTAAATCGAAGAATATATTGGGACTTTGGTGTACCATTTGCAAAAAATCGGTCGATTTTTCCAAATTTCAATTTTCATCCAAATCTGATCACAAATGCGACCTGTACTTTGTTAACGAAATAACATGGACGGACTGACGGACAGACGGACATGCATAAATCGACTTCAAAAGTGATTCTATGCATATTCTCAAAAGGAACCATGTGTCTATCTCGTTTCCTTCTGCCTGTTACAAACATATGCATAAAGACATAATAGCCTAGACAGACGACAGCCTTAATTTGCATTAACAGCCTTAATTCAAATTAACTTGTACATTATCCTCATTTTTATGTGTTGTTAATGCACAAAATCAAACTGAATTTATACTGAATTAAGCAATTTCAATATGGCAATGCTGTAGAAAATAAATTGATTGTTGTCAAATTTGTTTACGTTTACGAAAATTAAAATTAGAAATAAAGGCAAAATTCAACCTTTCTTCAAATTTGGAGCTGTATTATCTTCATTATAGCTGTTAGTTTTCCTTCCTGCCATGTATCAATTTCAAAAAGATGTAATCCTAAAAAATATTCTAAACAAATGTCAATATTTTCTTCCTACACACAGACAAACAATAGTTTTGAAACAAAAAACTGATTCATAAATGCAGAAACTCTCGTCAGTCAGGGGTAAATTTTAATTCAAATTAAGAACTTTTTAATGCAAATTAAGGCTGTCGTCTGTCTATGGTATAATACTCTGTATCACAGTGTGGTGAAGAATATAAAAATTTCACCAGAAGCAATTTTAAAAAACTCTTAATAATACACTATCATTTTTAAATTAGCCCTTGCAAAAATTCTCTAACATTGAATTTTTGAAAAAGGAAAAAATTCTTAAAATACATCTAAAGATCTTTAAGAACTTCACCGGCAGGCATGATTTCCGACCACTGGGCGTCCAAACAAAAAATTTCAACGGCATTCGGAAGATTATATGTCTGTCTCTGGTATGAACTATGATTATTAACATTGCATAAAAATTAACACAATGGCGGACATACATATGATTTTTGTTTTTAAAAATTCCCTATTTTTGATTGAATATTTTTTTTGGAATCCGCAATGCTTTAAAAACCCTTGAATGAATTTTACACTAGAAACAAACCTTTTGAAAACATTGTTTAAAAAATCCAAAATTAAAAAAATTTTGAAAAGTCCACGCTTGAATTTTTTTAGAAATCCACAACACAAAACATCTTTTAATAATTCACGTTTATAATTTTGTATTTAATATATGGACGTCTGAAAAAAATGCTTAAAAATTCCTTAAGCTTGATTAATCCTAAAATATAACAATCATGTTATTGATCTTATTAAAAGTCCTTAAAAATCGCAGACTATCGCTCTGGTAGACGCCGTAAAAAATCCATGCTTTTAGTTTCGATTATTTTTTTCCCTTAAAAATCGTGCACATGAAACAAAGAAAATATACTATTACTGTTCTCATAAATATTGAAAATAATACTTAAAAAAAATATAACTTCCCCCTTGCATAAAAATTTATTTATATTAGTAATAAATCTCAGTGAATTTTCATCAATCTGTTCTATTGCACACCCTTGCCCTTTGACCATAATGACATTTTGTTGACAATTGTACCGTAATGATGCATTAGCCTAAGAGGTCACAAAACACATTTATAAATATAAATCACTAACTAATTTGTCAAAATCAGATTTCTCAGTTATGAGCATCCATCTCAAGGTGAACACCCAAACCACAAGCACCATGAATAACCTAAGTGATTGGCCTCTTAGTTAAATGACCCGTTGTTTAAGTTCACTCAACGCTAACAATCAGATATGAAATATTATATGAGCAATCATAATTCCCTGTTGGAAACATAGTTTGGAAATAAAAATAAAAAAAGAAAACAAAACAATTAAGACAAATATTAACTTACCTTCTTCATAAAGGTCATGACGTTCGTTGGTAACATTTTTCTCTGTTTTGTTGAATTTCCTGTTGCAAAGATTTATTTTGTTATTGTTTTCAAATTGTTTTTCTACAAAAAACTAATCAAAAAGTTATGACGTATTTTCAGTAGTTGTTTTTTTTTTTTTTTTTTTTTGATAATTTGTAAAAAATAATTATCAATATGAATTCAAGAAACTATTTTGCATTTCTATTACTGCTCCTTTTTTCAATTCCCAAAAATTGTTGGCAATATTGTCACGTTCATTTTTACAGCAAAACCAAAACAACAATAAATATCAAAATACAGCTTAGATTGTAGTAAAAACTGCTTCAATGACGCCAAGGATTATAATTTTGTAGTATTGGGTGTTTAGTTTTCCATATAAATTCACAGCAAAATCTGTAAAGAGAATACAAACAAAAAATAATGACTTTAATAAAAATAGCAATCATTTGAAAACTTCAACATTTAATAGTAGGAAGCTTTTTACATGGAGAAAGGAATCGGATCAAAGAATAAGCATGCCTGTTTTGATAAATATAGGACATTATTTAGCGCGTCAAATGGACCCTGACTTTTGTGTGAAAAATTAAAAAAAATGTATTCTATGGCATATATGGGCAATATTGCCAATTTTTTAACATAGCTGAAGCGGAGGTTCACCCCTTTATAACTCGGGAATTATTTAAGTATATGAATAAAAGTGAATAGTTTTAGGTTAATTGGTCTGTCGTTGCATGTCATGATATTGACCTCCAAACTTTATTTTGCTGGAAGCTGTGTCTACTTTAATGTAAAAAAATGTGTAAAAACTGGTTGAGGCGAACCAGTTTTTTATGTTCTCTGTCGATTTGTGACTAAGCCACTCATTTCATGGTCTTCTGTCAAAGTAAAACTAGAAGCCAACAAAATGGGGACTGCACCACTTATGTATCATTTTTCAAAATTTTAACTGCATCTACCTTTAAATGATGCTGACATTTTGAAGCTCAATTTTGAGTGTTTTTTGAATTTTACTTCCAGCTTTAATACGCAAACAGGAATTTCTAACAATCGATTATAAGATTATTGTAGACGCGAATCTGCGTAATTTGATATGTATTTTGTGTATGTAGTATGCACAGCTTCAGAGTAATACTCATCTGATGGTGAACATTTTGTTCGATCAAATTTCTAAATAACCTATCTTTCAGGCCTAGTTTTTAGATCTGTCAACTGAATGATATGGGTACTCGCGATCAATAAGGTTTTTTACGTTTCGGGTGATATAAAATCTTCTTCGTGAAAATCCATCTACTTGAACGGCGGGAAATGACCTTCCAAAAACACGAAATTTGGCAAAACATTTTTTTGAAAATATCGCGGATTTATTTGCATTTTCTGTGAAAATGACCTCATACGGATTTTGATCTTTTTCGAAAAGAGAACTTTAAAAACTTCAGCCGAAAGAGGGATGTACCCAATTTATCTCAAAAATAGTGTGAGGTGGCACATCCATGGTTCTTAATTGAAATGTGTATAGATCGATGTATTTTTTTAGGGTGCACACCGAAATCGGATGCGCGTTAGTGGCATATGGAGTTTTCGGAAATTATTAGCGTTTTACGATTTTTTGGGTACTTCAATGCAACGTGTGGCACATCTTAGCCGTCAAATGAAATTTCGCAAAATATATATGGATTGGAAGATAAACTTCAGTACTTCCTGGAAACTGCATGCGCATCAAATTTTCATTAATATAATGAAAATATTGATGTAATCTCCTATATTTTTTATTTTTCTCATATTTCGCGAAGATGTGCAACTTTATCGCGATTATATTCTTATTTTACGGAGGAAGATCTATATTAACGTTTTTGGTCAATATAATAAACGGCGTAATTTTAAAATTTTTTTCTTATGCCCAAAATTAAAACCTCGATAACTTTTGCGCGCATCAACCAAAAATTTGATCGCGAACTGTTTCGACGTCAGAACATTTTGCTCTATACGTGTACCAAAAATCATTGATGTGCCACAAAAACAAAAAAGCTGATTTTTTGAAAATGGAATATTAAAAAATTGGCAATATTGCCCTTATATTTACTCCTGAAGGACATAGCTCCGATTTGATAGTATATTCAAAAGGAGTGGTTGACCTATAAATTGACACCAATTATATTGTCGTATGTACTCGGATGTGGGAGTTACACTTAAATATTTACAGGTGCTTACGTATTCAGATATTACTTAGTAACCCATTACCACACTAGAGGGCGGAAATATAGCGCTGATCGCTTTGAAATGTTCCATGAGGTTCCAGCTATAATATTCGGTGGTGATCAGATAATAAATTTGGGAGATCAGATAATAAAAGGAAGATCTTGGCCGATTGCATTTATCCTAGTTCATACAATAGCTATCTATATTTTCAAGAGTTGTTATGATTTTAACTTTACATTTTATAGGGACATTTTTAAATTAGTGTAGTTTGGAATTAAATAAAATAAAGTTGAAGTTTTTGAAACCGAAAATGGGGTTTCCCCTTAAGTTGAACCGGACCGAACTATATATAACCTCAACCAGGTGTTGTGCATACCAAAAACGTTAACGTTATATGGGAGCTACAACAAACATTATTCGATATTCAATTTATTTCAGAATTTTTGGTAGGAAGATTTAAAATTCTAAGATAACTTGAAAAATGTAATTAGAGCCAATTCGGTTGAAAAGCCTGACCAAGCTACCAGAATACCCAAAATGGTTGGTACGATTATATGTGGTGTACGTGTAGACTCAACCAAAAATATATAACATTATAGCCAATTTGGTTGAAACATGTGGCCCAAAATACCAAAATTTGGAAGAACAAGGAGAACATATTGTTCGATTTTCAGTGAAACTACCAAATCATATGTAATTTTTTAGTACCCAGTGATAAGCCAAAATACCAAATTTCTACGAAACATTCCCACTGATAAAAAATATTTTTTTCTCGCGTTATCCTACACCATCGTTGGCTATTGAATAGTTCTACGACTTTTAAGGATTTAAGGATTTATAACGGAAATTCGTTCACAAATTGAGAGCGTTTCCGTTTTCATGCTATTTTCTGTAACCATTGCAAATAAATGTGATGAATAAATAAAAAATGAGTGATTTAATTCTTAAACGTTATAGAATTTGAACGACCAGGATTTAAAAATGCACATCATCATATTGTTTTACTATGCATACACTTATTTTCAAATTTAACTTTATTAAAAAAATAAAAAAAGGTTAAAAAATGTTTTAACAATACTCAAAATACGAGGTACCGTTACATGAGACCTACCGTAAAATGTAGACCAATATTGACCATTTTTGAATATTGAAATTGGTTAAAAGACTTGACCATAATTTCCAACATACTGAAATTTTTATTGTATCGTTTTTTTGGGACTACACTGAAAAGTGGTTCAATATTGATACAGGCATTTAATACCTAATGAGAACCCAAAATATCAGATAACAGTCAATTCGATTCAAAACGTGTTCAAAATAGAGAGATTTTGGAGGTACCGTTACATGGGGGATATGCAAACTTTTGGACAGTTGAATTTTAGACGATCTAGATCGTCTTAGAATTTACACTGATCAAGAATATCAGAAACGATTATTTTGAAAAACATACAACGATGGAGGGTGTAAAAATGGGTAAAAATATGCTGAAGCCAACAATTTTTTTGTCTTTTGCTAATTTATGACTAAAATACACCATTTACAGACTTGTGCTCAACATCTGAATTGAAGAACACCATATTGGCAATATAGTTCTAATGTATGATTTTTCGATATTTCAACCATATTCAACTAAGCCGGATGCTGACATTTTGAAGCCGAAATTTCCCTGTTTTCGGACGAGCTAGTTGAAGCCCTAAACTTTTTATAGGATCGTAGAACTCGTGATTTCACTTCGATTGATGTATATCTCAATCACATTTTTATAAAAAACCCCGCGTGATTTTAGTTTTATTTTACGTGCTGAATTTACTGAGACCAGCCGTGTTCAAATCCGCCCAATAAAACTGCGGTCAAAAGTACTTTGAAAGTAGAAAAATTCCGCGTGTATAATCGCTTTATTTTGTATATACATATACACATTTCTAAGCCATATTCCTGAGTAAATGCATCATAAAATATAGTGACACGTGAATAATTTTATCCAAAATGGATAGAAGCATATGAGATTTAAAAACTTTCAAAGTATTCACCCTTTGTGGGGGTGGAGCTAGAAGGAGTGGGCCGATAAGTCCCATCTGGCAACATTATACAGGCTTAGTTAAAATATTAGGGTGTCAAAGTTCAAATCCGATGGTCTGTTCCCAATTAATTTTCTGTAAAATTTAGACCATTTTGTGGGGTAGCTTGATTTAAGTTTGGAAAAAATTTTACGAAATGAAGAAATTTGAAGGAAATCGGTTACACCCTTCGAGAGTTATCTTGCACATCAGCCAGCCTAACAGACACGCAGACGGACGGGCGGAAATTTGTAAATGAGTCCAATTTGTCTGAAACGGATTTGGTCCAAAGAACCCCCTGCCTCCCCCCATGGCTACGTCGGTGGTACACATTGTTGAAATTAATAGACCCCACCTCATTGTGCGACTAACACAAGCTTCACGTCTTAACCCTGGTGACAACTAATGAAATTGATTTAGAAATATTCAATTTAAATTCATATTTATCTTTGCCAGACCCGCCACCTAAATCTGCTCGTTATTATTCCATTTATCATTGTGTTTGCATGTACTACGTGCACGTTACAGCACAGAGGCAGATTTATTTATTCGCGGATGTTCTGCCGCCTGGTCTGCTCAACAAGTTGGTAGTTGGTTAAGTGTCCCAACACCGAGTTTAAATGATTTGCATAAATCATGTACGGTGGTGGCGGTAAGGGAGTTGTCAACCAGCTATACGGCTATACTTACATAAATACATTCATACATATGTTGTAGTATGTATATAAATTTTGGTAACATTTCGTATAGTGGCATTTTATT